GTTTCGCCCCTCCGGGGCCTCACCGACATGCTTGGCGCTTCGGTAAACTCTCGCGTCGTGTCTCTGCGCTGTTCTCGTGTTTCGGCCATATGAATGGACTCTACACCCTGCTTGCGCTCACGTAACATGATCCAGGCTGCAGCGCAAACTCAAACTCGAACCTCATGACGGTGATTCCTACCTAAATTCGTATACATGCACAAGGATCGGCGAGAATGTCTGGTCGTTGACTGGGGAATTATTTCCTGAGGTTCGAGAAGCGATTCGAATCTTAATCCGATAAGTTTTTAGGTCACGATGTTGTGTTCTCCTGAGAAATTACCGGCAGCTTGAGAACATAATCACTTCGGAGACGAACTTGCTTGTCAAACAGCCTGCAAGAGCTGTTACTCACCTGATCTTGGTTAACCAGAATTTTTCCTATCCACCAAAAGATTCCTACTTTCGCAAAATTCACGGAAATTTAGGAGCATCTTGGAAAAAAAAACCGACCTCAGATAGTGGTGCGCAAATGAGATAGTCCCATGATACGAGCAAACATCTATTTCTGGCAGAGTCAGGGAATTAGAACCGTGAGACTCTCTTTCGGCACTCCGGACCGCAATTTTTCTTTTTTTTTGTCACGGTCACTCTTTCTACTGAGCTACGCTTCAGACTGAACTCTGAAATGTCCGTAGTCCACGCCCCCAACGGCCGTCCACCTCCGATCGCACAACCAGCACAGCACCAAAACCATGCCATCGAGTTGTGTAAACGTGGTTTGAGCGACCCTCACCGCCCGCCGATCTGTGCCATGGGTTTGCTGCTGGCCGTGGAAACTGTCTGCGGGCCCGAGGAAGGCGAGTTTACTCTAGTCGTACCGCGGAAGAGCACTGACGATTGTCATATGTACAGGAAAAGGCGGGATAACTGCTAACAATACTGTTTGGCCCGCGGTTCTCTCATTTCTCACAGTGAAGCGAACTTCCGACCAGCTGAAAAAGCTACAAACGAACATGAACACCTGCTCTTGTCCCATTAATGCAGAAACTGCCGCCGTCCACGCAAGCGGCGCGAACGTTCTCGCACAACGCAGCGCAATGTTCTTCATGCGCGGAATCACCAGAATCAATACGGAAGTCAATATGACGCCCTACCACTGTCTCATCATCCACTTCTTCACCGGCATATCCAATTATCTTACTTCTTTGGGTGTTACACGACTCGCGAAGGGCAGAACAAACGAATGGCCCCAGGCCCCTTCGGACCTCCTTCCCCACGGAGCCAGTACTACTATTGAATCGCTAGAACAGTGGATTGAAACACTGCGCGACCCGGCGCCGTTCCCTCTTCTTCTTCTAACCCAAATCGTCAGGCTTTGCCGCACACTCATCGTCCCCAACATGGTGGCGTCCCAAAATATATCCCGTCTCGTGGTCTCATCTCTGCGCGAGGCCTATGACGAGGCCAAATCGACCGTTGTACCCCCTCCCCATCCATGGTTCCCCGATGCCAAACTATCTGCCGCGGAAACGCTCAAACTACGTATTTCTCCCGTGGAGTTGTTTTTGGGTAATTTCTCGCCCGAAATTATGAGAAATGCACTCACGGCCGGTGAGATATACACCTTTTGGGGTGCTCACGACCGAGCATTGTTCGAGTGGTTGACTGCGGTGCTAAAGCTCTTCACCGCTTCGTCACTCTTCCCGCCTCAAGTTGGGGCAGATCCAAAACAGTTCTGGGCACAGGGCGGCTCGACAGTTATGGTGTTCCGCAGCATCACTTCGTCGATCTTTTCGCACCTGAGCAACAAATACGGGATAACGGCTGACAAACTCGAGCCCGGTGCCCGCGCAATGTGGGAGTCGAGGGAGAAAGAGGCCCCGTGGAAGACTATCTGTCGTCGCCTCAACTGGGTGAAGTCAGAGGAGCGGTGCGGGATGGAAGGCTGCACCGAGTCTCTGCAAACAATATCAAGCCAATTTCAACGCTGCGCCGGATGCGGGATTGTGGGTTGGTGTTCAAAGGAGCACCAACGACTATCTTGGAAAGACACGCGCAATCCGCACCGCGATATCTGCAAAATTATCTCTCGCTTTGTCGAGTCCGCCGGCGGTGACCTGAACGACGGAGAGAAAGTCGCACGTTTGGCCCCAAGAATCCCGCTCACCGACATGCAGACGATTTCTGACTGGCTCAACTCGTTCAATGCTATTCGGAACAACATGAAGGACCGGAACGACATGTTCAAGATGCTCCGCACATATTCGAACAGAAACATGTGCTTCGCTGCGGGATGTAGCCGCGCGAAGGTGCACCCGGCTTCCAAGAAGTTTGTTAAGTGCAAAGCGTGCGGGGTCTTTCGGTACTGCAACACTGAGTGTCAGGTGCGTTATCCTGAAGTATTGCACGCTGTTCCATATTGACATGTAATGTTTCAATTCGCAGAAGAGAGGCTGGAAGGATCCGGCCGCACCACATAAAGAGGTGCGTGTATTTACTGCCAATATACTTATATGTGCTCACCGCTCTCAGGTTTGCCCAGTTATTAAGCGGGTTATCGAGAACGGTGGGGGAGATGTCAACGATGAACATACAACGGCACGCAGGACGGGGGAGGGGCATGTCTCCCTTGATGACGCTGCCCTCGTCAATGACTGGTTCACCCGCTTCAACCGCGAACATTCGGAACGCAGCCCGCTCGCGCCGGGCGACAGGATAGGATCGTGAATGCCTGCTCTTCTGAACTACTTAAATTTTTGAATAGAACGACGGAATTATCGTGGAGCCACCCTTCAGAATTCTACGGAGGCATAATATGTAGAATTGAGGTTTTGAGCGGATTTATTCCACCGCCGTGAATTTTCCTTTGGTTTTGTACAAGGTTCTCAAGTTGAACCGTGGGTTCTTCGGAGTTACCCCCGACAGCCCGCGTCGGCCAGCGTCGGCATGATGCCGTTCGGTTTAAAGTGAGAGCGGGAGTCCCAGGCTCACAAAGCACTTGACTCTGACCATGGCTGCCACTGTTGCTCCGCAGAAAAGCGCACTCAATGTTGTTATGGTCAGTGCTGCAATACTCAAGCAATACTGCCCAGCCGCATCTCACGATCCACTAACTCGTTTCCTGATGTCGATAGGGCGCGATGACATTCGGCGCGCCGGGTACCGAAGGCGCGCGGGTACACGACCTGCACGACGTTGAGGCGATTCTGGATGTGTTCCTCAAGCACGGCCATCGCGAGGTGAACCCTCTCCACCCTCCCCCCGCACTTCGCAGCCGAACTGGTTCAACCGCAGATTGACACGGCGCGCGTCTACTGTGCGGGCACGAGCGAGGAATATCTCGGGAAGATCGATTGGCAGGGAAAGGGCATCTTGATGGAGACAAAGCTCTATCCTTTCGTCGTACGTCGCCAATTTAAGTAAAGGTTTATAGGCCCTCACGGTTCGACTGCAGCCCAAAGAACCGACTCCAGGTCAAGAAATTAGGTCGCATTCGCCAGAGGTAATCGTGCACTTCCCGTCGTCTTACTGAAGCACTCACGCGGATAACCGTAGGATCTCCGCAAATTTCTGATGATCTCGCTCAAGGCGTTGAACACAGAGTCAGTATGATTTTCGCAGTAAATTTATTGGACCCCCCAGTAACACCCGTATGGCACAGCAAACTCGAGATGTGGTACCTCCACGGCCCCGACCGCTCCGTCCCCTACGAGGTCACCCTGAAAGCCATCAATGACCTCTACAAGGAGGGCTATTTCAAGCGGTTCGGGATCAGCAATTACATGGCGTGCGTCTCGTTCCGCTATCCACCCTGCAAATAAACAAACTTACCCGCGCGCAGGTGGGAAGTCGCAGAGATGGTCTCCATCTGCAGGCGCTTCGGCTACATCCAGCCAACGGCATATCAAGGTATTTTACTCTACGTCTGCGTGTTCATCTGTGCTTGAATTTTTTTCAAAGGAATATACAATGCGATCCACCGCGGCGTCGAGCCCGAGCTCTTCCCGTGCCTGCGCAAGTTCGGGATCGCCTTCTACGAATTTAACCCCCGTGCGCCGCGTCCCTTCTGCAATATAACATCTCCAAATTCGCTGACCGACACAACGTAGTGGCGGGCGGGTTCTTCACGGGGCGGTACAACTCGGTAGACGACAAGCCCGAGAGCGGCTCGCGCTTTGATCCCGAGCGCAACCAGGGGAAGGTGCGCGTTCCTCCCTCCATCTCTCCATCCAGTTTCCCCAGCGATACTAATCCGTCCGCAGAACTACCGCAACCGGTACTGGAAGGAGCCGTACTTCCAGGCGCTTGCGGCGGTCCGGCCGGTAGTCGAGCGGCACGGGCTGACGATGGCGGAGGTCGCGCTGCGCTGGATTTCGCACCACAGCCTCATGCGCCGTGAGTACGGAGATGCGGTGCTCATCGGCGCGTCGAGCCTGGAGCACATCGAGCAGGTATTACTATTACTATGCCACATTTGTTGAACATTCCGATTGACCTCACCGCAGAATCTGATTGATCTCGAGAAGGGCCCGCTGCGTGAGTGTCTCGTTCGTTTCTTTGAAAACCTGTGCGCTGACCCCATTCTCCAGCGGAAGAAGTGCTGAAGGCGCTCGACGAGGCGTGGGAGAGCGTCAAGCCGTATGCGAGCAATTACTACCACTAGGTTGGAGCTGTTGTCGTTTATCTGGTGCGTTTCACTTGAGTTCCTGTTGGACACATCCTGACGTCGTTCTGTACTGCAGTATGTACTATTCTGATCTGTGTGTACGAGACATGTCTGAATAAAATCGAAGATGTACGAAGTTGGACCCTTTGCGATTTCAACCATGGTCCCGTGATCTTGGTTGAATTTCTCTCTTCGAGTTGTCGGCACGGCTCTCTGCGGTCTTCTCGCTACACGTAGTGCTTTCAATTCAACATGATGTCGAAAACAGTCGATGCGGAGGGGAGAGATAGCCGCAGCGTTGCTGATTACTTCAGTTGCTCATAGTATGACAAGGATGTGCCCAGTTGCATATGGCCTGGTAGTGTACTGGCAACACATCCTTCCATGATGATACAACTCAGCATATTGGAGGAAACACCCCGTTCGATTCGGGGCCAGGCCATTCGATTTACGGATTCACTTTTTCTCATGTGTTTCCCACTCGCGCGTCAAATTCAACCTCAACCTTAAATTCAACCCACCCCAAGCACAACCTGGTAGTGTACTGGTAACATATACTTCCATGATTAGCAGGATATCGGAAAGTGGCTAGGAGGAAGCACCCCGTTCGATTCGGGGCCGGGCCATGTAAATCAAATTTCTTTTTCGTCAACAATTACAGTATTAGTTGAGCCCTTCGAGCCAAATTCAACCTCAACCCCAAGTTCAACTCATCTCAAGCAAGGCCTAGTGGTGTACCGGTAACACATCCTCTCTTAATGTATGAGTCTCCCCAGAAATAGGAGGAAGTACCCTGTTCAATTCGGGGCTAGGCCATTCCACTGGCTGATCCATTTTTTCTCATGTGTTTCAATCTTTGCCAACTTCACCCTCGCGCAGATTCATCCTCAACCTCAAATTCAACTCACCCCAAGCATGGCCTGGTGGTGTAGTGGTAACATGTCTCTCCGATTTATATGCACCACAGTAAAATGTATAGGAGGAATTACCCTGTTCGATTCGGGGCCAGGCCATTCCAAATCTCAGATGCCTTTTTGTTTCATCAAGGCATTAGCCCTCTCGAATCAGATTCAACCTCAACCTCAAATTCAAGACATTTCAAGCCAGGCCTGGTGGTGTACTGGTAACACATCCTCTCTTGATATAGGAGGAAACACCCCGTTCAATTCGGGGCCAGGCCATAACCCCCCAGTGTAACTTTTTTTTTCTCATGTTTTTCTTTGCCACCCACTCTCGCATCAGATTCAACCTCAACATCAAGTTCAACCCATCCCAAGCAAGGCCTGGTGGAGTACCGGTAACACACCCTCTCTTAATGAACTCAGTGCAATAAAACTTAGGAGGAAATACCCCGCTCGATTCGGGGCCAGGCCATCACCCATCGATTTGGTTGAAGTTTTTTTCCCCTTCGCTCCCCTTCGCTCCGCTCATTTCTCATTTCTCCGTTCCTCCGTTTCTTCTTCAAATTCTCTTTCAAAATTCACGCATCCATCCCTCCGCCTTTTTTTCCTCTTCGGCATGGCACTAGCAGCGCAACCTCCTATCCTTCAACTCGTCCAACTCGTACAATCCCTCAGGCCTCAGGAACGCCGCCGCCGGCGACCCTGCCTCGCTCTAGCCTCTGCCTCTAACTAACCTAGCGCACGATCAGACCCACGGACGCCCTTCAAATGCCCCTGCCCCTACTCAAATTGTATAAATCAAAGTCCATTCAACCCGCGGCCGATAAGTACCCACTCAATTAATCCTTCCCTGAGCACCATGGACCTAGACCTGAGTGCATCCTGCATCCCTGCATCCTGCCGTCCGTCCGTCCATCGCCTGTCCGCTTGTCTCATTCTGCCAAGTATACATCCGAGCTGTCTTTCACGTTCGTTTCTGTCGGACTATAAACCATATATGTACTATGTAGATGAGACGAAGTAGGACGGACGGCCCGAGACGCGCGCTAAGCACGCACGCAAGAAAACGGGGGTATCCAATTAACTACTAGCTCGCCCCTAAGCGTATCTAGTACTGTATGCAGCAGTATTAATCCGAATCCGAATCCGAATCCGAATCCAAGAAATCGTCCCATCGTAAAAATCATCAAGAAAGAAAGAATCGTGTATGCGTCCGTCAGTCGAACGAAAACCAGGATATTAGGGGATGTATAAGTGGTATAGCGTACGAGTAAATCCAAATCCAATGCGATGCAGAGTCCCGAATGAATGAACGGGTATGAGAATATGTATGTATGTGTGTCCGAGTCCGAGTCCGAAATCCAAATCCAAATATGTGAATGCGAGAATATGCGAAGCGAATGCGGGGAAGGAATGAAGCGGCGTGCAGAGTCGAGTATGGGGCTATGGCTGTGGGTCAAAGGAGGGAGAGAGCATATACGCATGCAATGGGTCACGGTGGGTGGTGTGCGGCAGCATAGAGATCGGGATAGAGATACGGATAGGGATCGGGATAGGGATGGGGAAGGGAAGGGAATCGTCCGTCCGTTCGTACGAGGGCGGGCGGGCAGGCGAGAACACGCATACATAGCCCACCCCCACCCCCACCTGAACGCGGCGCGTAAAGCGCCCCACTCCACTCGGGCTTAGCATATACGTGCGTGCGAGTCAGCGCACGCCGCGCCGGGCTCGCACGCGACTCTGCGATGACGCGCGCATTCCGCCATACGGAAACTAAAACGCAAAACGCGACAGCGCAAAAAACGCAAATACACCGTGCGCAGTCGGACCGCGACCTGCGTGCTTCGAAGTTCTTGCCCGCGAGTCGAAAATAAGCCAGCCCCGCTTCGAAAATAAGTCGATTCGCTGGCACCCCAAGCGTAAGACCCAAAAATACGCAGCCAGCCAGACGAGAATACGTGCTGCGGACGGTCGGGACGGCTGTGTGGTGGGTGGGACGAAATGAATAACCCATACCCGGATCTGGACGTGGACGTGCACGCCGACGCGAAGGGTGGGAGCCCGGCGTGAGAATCCTCTACTGTTATGTCGGGCGAGCCGCGGTGTCCGGGTATCCGGGACGGGTACGGGCACACGGGCACGAGCCCGCGCACCGGCGGCGTTGGCGTTGGCGATGCTGGCGAGTGGAGCGGGTAGGAATACAATGTACAGCGCGGTCCGACGGAGGGAGAGCGGGGGTCGCCAGGCAGACGGATGCGGGGGACAGACGCCAGACGATGGCGCGGGGCGGCCAGGGCCAGATCCTACACATAGACAGACGTACGCGCGTACGTCGTCCGCCCACGCCCCGCCGCGCACCTAACAAACAACACAACAGCACCCGCCCTCCTCCTCCTCCCCCGCCCCGCCGCCCGCGCCCCCGTTCGCACCTGCATCGCCGCCCGCGCCGGCGTCGCCGGCCGCGGCGTCGGTCGCGCGGCGGCGGACGGACTTTTTCTTTTTGGGCTTGGCGGGGTCGTCTGCGGGCGGGGCGTAGGCGCGGATGGAGAGGTGGACGATGGTGGGCGGGGGCGGGTGGGCGTGTGCGTGGTGGACGTGCTCGTGCGAGGGGTCGGGCGAGGGCGCAGGCGCAGGTGCGGAGGCGGGCGGTGGGGGCGTGTGCGCGGGGAAGCCGAGCTCTGTGCACCCATCATTTCATCAGCATGTGGATTGCCAGCCAAGATAAAGAGAAGACGGACTGGCGAGGGTATCCTCGTCCTGGAGAATCTTGCCGAGGTAGAGGATGCGGAGGTAGGCGGGTGCGGGGGGGCGCTCGTCCTGCCACTCCTGCTCTGGGGGCCAGGCGGCCCAGACGAGCTCCTTGACGCGGCCGACGGTTGTTGCGGGGTCAAAGGGCATGGTGCGGCGGCGGCCGGAGACGAGGAGGAAGGTGAGGAAGGTCTGGGGCGTCTGGACGAAGGGCTGGGGCTCTGGCTCGGGGGTCTTGGGCTCTGTTTCCGGGACTGGTGCAGGATCTGGATCTGGCTGGTTGTTCTGGTCTGTGTCCTGCATCTGAATGTCTACGCGGGTTGTTGAGGAGCGGGCAGAGGGGGTAGCGTAGGGAGAGGGTTGTTGTGGGAGTAGAAGCAGAGATTCTCCTCTTTCCATATTCAATTCACTCTTTCGCACGGGGTGATCTGCTCGTCCTCCTCTTTATAGTCATTCGCCTAGAACATCCGAGCCCGCTGCACACGACCACGGGACTTGCCGGAGACGGTCTGGACAACCACAATGACCCCCCGACGATGACCAGAGTGCGAGTCCATCGGCCCCTCCACCATCCTTCTCCGATATTCCCCGTGTCCGCCGTCCTCTACCCGCTTAGTTCGCTTCATCCGACCCACCGCACAAATCCCGCACTCTCGCGTTAACACCTCAATCCTCTTTTGCCTGTGCTCATTAATCCTAACGTCGTCCAAGCCCCCGCTCTTCTCCCTCGGCCCGCGCCAAGCGGGCGCTTCAAAGTCAACCCCTCCTCGGCAACCATATCCTTCGGCCCGAATTCGATACCTATTTCACCCGGTGCAACTACAGAGCCCGCATCATCTTCTCTATGTGTAGACTGAATGGATTCGCGAATCGCGAATCGCGCGTATCAATCGCGTCCGTCGCGCGCTATCAGGCGCTATCTGTACGATAATCATTGTCGTAGTGTCTGCCAACCACAGCTGAGCGCAGTCATTTTCCGTTAGCTGAGGTAGCCAAGGAGTAATCGTAAAAGAACGAAAAATAAAAAATAAAAAGGGAGCCAAATCTTGATAGCCTGACCCCGAATCGAACAGGGCTCCTCTTCTAAAACTGCATTGTCCGTTCAATTGTAGAGGACATGTTACCAATACACCACCAGGCTGTTCCTATGTAACTATCAAGCTGTATTTAGGGTGTGATGATAATTAAACTGAACAGAAAAAAAAAGCATCATCTTAACACTTGTATGGCCTAGCCCCAAATCGAACAGGGGTTTCCCTCAAACATCGTAGAAACAATCATGTAAATTAAGAGGTTGTGTTCCCACTACACCACCAGGCCTTCCTCACTGCTGGCTTGACTCGACCTAGGTAGCAAAGGACGGTGCAATGTACCCAAAAAAAAGATGACAGCATGTTGAGCCACGGCCCAGCCCCGAATTGAACAGGGGTCTCCCTCAAAGTCTCTCAAAATCTTAAAAATCAAGAGGTTGTGTTCCCACTACACCACCAGGCCTTCCTAATTTTTGGCTCGACTCGACCTAGGTAGTGGATTGTACCCAAAAAAAAGATGACATGCGTCGAATTGAACAGGGCCTCAAACAATTCGAAGTACCTATGCCAAATTAAGAGGTTGTGCTCCCATTACACCACTGGGCCTTGCACATCTCCTATGCAACTTGGATTATAGGATAGGATAGAATAGGATGTCATGTTGAATCTCCCAAAAGAAGAAAGAAAAAAAAAACCAAACACATAACATATGGCCTAGCCCCGAATTGAACAGGGATCTTCCTCCAACACACTGTCGCTACTTTGTAAGTAAAGAGGATGTGTTGCCAATACACCACTAGGCCATACTTAGCTTTCCCCAGTTTGAGTAGAGTACATTATTACGATGCTGAAGTTGAAGTAGTGAAAAAAGAGTTAATGTTTATGGACTATGGCCTGGCCCCGAATTGAACAGGGACCTTCCTCTGATCTTTTCCAGATTTGACATGAATAATTAGAGAGGATGTGCTACCACTACACCACCAGGCCTTGCATATTTTTCTGCTCAACTTGCATTATAGGATGCTGTCTTCAATTCAAATTTCCGAAAAAGAAAAGACAAAGAAGAAAGGATGGCCCAGCCCTGAATTGAACAGGGTTCTTCCTCCAAGGACTCCTCCGTCTGACGTAAATAAAGAGGATGTGTTGCCAGTACACCACCAGGCCATACTTGGTTGTCCTTCAATTGAGCTAGGGTACATTATTTTGATGTTTGTTGAAGTTGAAGGAGTAAAAAATTGGCACACTTGGGATGGCCTGGCCCTGAATTGAACAGGGGTCTTCCTCCAAACTTTTCATTGTCCAAGCTAAATTGAAGAGGATGTGCTACCACTACACCACCAGGCCTTGCATACCATCTGCGCAACTTGGATTATGGGTTATGGCAGGATGATGTGGGGGCGGCATCAGCAAACCCCGGTTATGATAGTTTGATCAAACTACACAGAACTATGGAGCACTATGTAGCTCTATGTAGAGGGTACCCTTGCTATGGCAAAAACCGGGGTTTGCTGATGCCGTGTTCAATTCAAATTTCCGAAAAACAAAAAGCTAATGGCTTGGCCCGGAATTGAACAGGGTTCTTCCTCCGAAAATCAATCGACTTCGACTTCATCCCAAGCAAAGAGGATGTGTTGCCAGTACACCACCAGGCCACACCTGTTTCTCCTCCAAATTGAGTAGGATGGATTATTTCGATGTTGAATATTATTTGAAAGTTGAAGTAGCAAAAAGAAAATCAAGATCCTGGAGTATGGCCTGGCCCCGAATTGAACAGGGTTCTTCCTCCAATTGGTCTATGTTACTGATGTACACTGAGAGGATGTGCTCCCAGTACACCACCAGGCCGTCGTTGCAAAGTGACTTTACAGTATTGAACCTGACTTCAAAACTTGGGGTTGTTCGCTCAACTCCGGGAACAAACAGAATAACCCCAACTCACATAAGATCCGATTTAAATCGTCCTCTCTGCGCGTCAGCGGATGCATGAACAGGAAGAGTTGGTTGAGATTCAGGAGTCAGGTGGCGGAAATTCAACCGAGGTCACGACATGCCGCCGGCTGATCCCGGGTTCACCCGACTCCTCCGTCTTCGTCTTCGCCAACCATCGACTCGCCGCGCCGCTGACGCGTGCACTCGCTTCGTCCTACTTCACCACCAACATCTCAACCCCAGGATTCACAGAGAGCTTGGCGTTCCTGGCGCATTGACCCTTCAATTGCAGCTGTCTCGCTTCGCTCCTCGCTCGTCGCCTCATTGAAGCCTCGAGCCCTCCGAGTCGCTTCAATCCGCCAATCTCTCTGGAGCTCTCTCGCTTCGCGTTCGTGCCTCGCTTCAAATTAAGAATCCTAGGCACTCGTTGAACAATGAAACGCCCTGTCAGGGTCCACCGTCCACGTCGATTGCGGGCCGCGTGTCATACCTCGCATAATGCACGACGCACAACGCACACCCGGCCCCGATTCTCCCGAAAATCCTTACTGGAATCTTGGATCCATTATCTCGTGTTCTACTAGTCCGCAACTATCGAACCATATTCGATGAGATCGATTCAGTCCATATGTTAGGTCGAAGGTCTCTGCCACGTTGCGCCAACGTCGTCTTGGAGCGGAGTCCAATGCCATCCGACTCGACACGTCCGAGTCGCCGCGGGTGAAATACGTTGCAGATTCGACTATAATTCTATCCCAACTGGACGGTGCGTCCATTTTCGAATTCATTCTCGAACCAACCATGCACGGTTGACACACTTGCAAGCGTCGCTTCCTAAACCGTCAAAGACCGCTTGTCGCAAGACTGCCGGCGACAGTCCGGAAGGATAATTTACCTCAAACAGCCTGGAACCAAACTATTGGACGACAAAGAATGAGGATGAACGGCGAATGCGAATCCCGCGGTTCACCTCTGCACGTCGCTCCCCAGGATTTTTCGATGTAATTCTGCAATAACATGAAGCACTCCCTGTTCAACGAAGAGTATGTTTCTCATGTCGTCCTCGCAGATTTCATCACGAGCTTCCATCGGAAGATCCTCGACGGGTTCCAGCGGCGGGTGCTGGTTCGTTCGGAGTTTGCACGCTGGCGCAGCTGGTTCAACCTGGCAGCGGCTCGTCGTTGACAGGGACAGGGACGGAAACCTCCTGGTCGTCTTCGTTGCGTGATGGCTACGAGGGTTGTGGAGGCCCACACTAACGCGTTGGCTTGGGAGTTTTATGATCGGCCGTGATGTTCATTTGGAGTTCTCACGCTGACGCAGCTGGTTCAGCTGTTCAACCTAGCAGCGGCTCATCGTTGACAGGGACAGGGATGGGAACTTTCTGGTCGTCGACTTTGCGTGGTATCTACGTGGATTGTGAACGCGCACGCTAACGCGTAGTAGGCTCGGGAGTCCTACGACGGGCCGTGATGTTCTCCTCCATTTCGAGTTGGCTATTGGATTTGCGCTCGTCTCTTTATCGGTGCGCTTTTTTCGCCCTGTATCGCGTTATTCGCCTAACCGAGCACACAATCCTAACAAAGAGACGCGAGCCCGAGTCATCTCCGACTGTTGTCAGTTTTTGGTTCTCGGACTACAGACCTGGATGCCCGGACACGATATCGACGATGCTGACCTGCTGTGTGCGTGTGTCGGCATCTCTGCGTCGGCGGACGTTCTTCTCCGACCTCCCCCGGTTCCGTGCCCCGCTCTCCCTCTCGTCGACGCTGCTTCCCACTGCGTGACGCCGTTGTCATCTGAGGCTCCCAGGCCTAGCGGCCTCACTTTACCTCCCACCGCACAAATCCTGCATGCTCGCGTTAACACCTCAATGCCAACGTCGCGTCTCTGCATTTCGCGTCGCTTACCTTCGCATCTGAATGCCCAACGTCGTGCCGAACCGCCCTCGGCCCGTCCGCACTGGCAGAAAGCTGAAGTGGCTCCGACTTGATCCTCAACCCGTTTCAGAATGCCCAATGTCGTTACGAACCGCCCTCGGCCTGCCCGCACTAGCAGAAAGCTGAAGTGGCTCCGAATCCTCAACATGCTCCAAAGTCAACCCCTACTCGGCGCCTCTCGGCGTCCCCAGTCGACCGTACATCCTCGCCATCGCGCCTCCCAGAGGCCGCGTACGCGCGTCAAACATCTACGTTCCCAAGACCCTTCGGCCCGATACCTATTTCACCCGATGCAACTACCCACAGAGCCCGCGAGCCCGAGCCCGACATTTATATTGCATAGGATAATCAGGATTCCTATGCATAGGTGATTGGACTGAATGGGCGACTCCATTGTGAATCGTACCAATCGCGTCCGTCCGAGTCTACGCGCTATCTATCCATGTAATCCCAAACTTTATTTAGCATCGTCGCCCGCAATACAATACAGACAAACGATGACCACAATTTCGTTTATACTCCCTCGTGAAGGCGTGGTGTAGAGTATCTGCCAACCACAACCGAGCGTTACTCGTTTTGCAGTAGACATGGCCAAAACAAGAAGTAACAGTAAAAGAACGAAAAATAAATAAAAGAGATTGTCCTTTTTCACAGCCCGACCCCGAATCGAACAGGGTTCTTCCTCTTGACTTAGTCAAAGGGTTATGCATTTGGAGAGGACGTGTTACCAGTACACCACCAGGCTGTTCCTGACTATGCCGGGCATATCAACTTGTATGGAGTTGTGGAGTTGAATTTCTACTTTGGAGGATAAAAAGACATAGCAGAAATACGGATGGCCCGGCCCCGAGTCGGGCGGGGGTTTCCCTCCAACATCCCATCCAACAATCGTGTTGAAGTAAGAGGTTAGGCCCTGCACATCTTCTGCTCAACTTGGACTATAGGTTCAACTCGAATTTCTAAAAGAGAAAGAAATAGAAACACATAGCCCAGCCCCGATTCGAACAGAATTCTTCCTCCGATGCCCATATTTACTGCATCTAAGTAAAGAGGATGTGTTCCCATGCACCACCGGGCCCTGCTTATTTGTCCTTCAATATGTAAGTACGGTGCATTATTTCGATGTTGAAGTTCAAGTGAAAAAAAACTGGCACATTTGGGTGATGGCCTGGCCCCGAATCGAACGGGGTTCTTCCTCCTAAACGTCTAGCAGCTTCCAATAAATCCGAGATGTGTTACCAATACACCACCAGGCCATCCTTCTTGGCACTCGGACCTCAATAAAGGGATGATGTCCAAGCCAAAGACAAATAAAAAGCACGAAACACATACGGAATAGCCTGGCCCCGAATCGAACAGGGTTCTTCCTCCTATTGGTCTATGCTACTGATGTAGACTGAGAGGATGTGTTGCCCGTACACCACCAGGCCGTTGATATCTCGCCACTGGCACTAATAATACTGGTAGATAATAACTTACTCAGTTCGAACTCGGTCCGAAGCCCGACCGGCGCAGGCAGGCGCTCAACCACAAAAACAGTATTACTCACTAGCTCATAAAAGTTTATTGAAGTTGCTCACACTGCTCGTCGGTGAATGCATGAACCAGGAACCTGGGCAACAAGAGAAATTGGTTGAAACGAAAAATCAACCGACGTCACGGGATTCGGACCGTTCATCCCGGGTTCAACCAGCTTTTCCGTCGACCACCATCCCGTCCAAAAATCCGTCTTCGAGCCGGCCGTTCCCATCCTCAAACGCGGACATCTTCACCTGTGATATCATTCTGACACGCACCGTGGCGTCTGCTCGAGGCGAACTCCATGCAAAACGGAGGAGGGAGATGTGAGGACGTCGCCAGCGCGTCCTCAGCGCCATTCGGCGCTCGGCCTCCTCTCTTTGGGGCCCCGCGCAGGGTTGATCTGAAATATGAGAGGACGTGGGGCTACATCTTCCAGAGTCCTCGTACAACACCTCGACGTCCCGCACTGCCTCTTGCGCCTCGAGCAGATAGTTTATGGTACTCCACAACGGCGCCTCCTCTATCAGATCTGTTCGCCCCTCCCCTCCACCTACTCCTCCAACTGCGTATCCGTCGCGGGCGTGTCTTTTTGGGTGGACATGTAAATTCCGCCCTCGGACCCACCTGCGAACTCGCATCAGAAGGGTAAGCACACCCGCTCTTTCAACGTATCATTCACCTTATCAACGCGCTGTATCCCACAGAGCCGTCCTTCCCCGCGCGCGCATCTCGGAAGAGCCACCCGTCGTCGTCCCGCCTGCGGAAGGATGGGTGAGCAAGCCACAGCGCGTCCGGCACGGGAAGACGCCGCTTTAACCGAAACAGCCCCGCGCCGTCGTCGAAATTCCGCGCTGCGCTAAATCTCGACCGGATGCCTGGGCAACGGCGACCAAGACGTGCCTCACCGTCCGCTTCCGCTACAGCCTGTATGTACGCGATACGCATCGATGTCGCAGGATTCAGTACTCACCGGGAACGTCACTCTCGCGAGCTCCGAATCTCATTCCCGTCTTCCTCGAAGCTGTCTCGCTTCCCCGAGGTTCGAGCCTCGAGCCCTCGTTTCAAGCTCCCGTTGTTCTGGATTCCGTCGCGAGTTCCGCCAAACGGCACCAATCCTTTGAAGCCACTTCACTTCGTGCCTCGCCCCCTCGCCCCAGAATCACGACCTCCGGAATCCGAGACACGTCTTCGCGCCTGCCGTTCTAATCTTCGGTCGCCCGTGCACAATGCGTTGAAATTGAATTTGTCGATTACCGGTCGCG